GAAAAATATATGAAACAATTGGTGGCTTTAGGATAACGAAGTAGTAATCATTTTAATTAATTCATTGTACAAATGGGATCAATAGCTAAAGAATCAATTAATATATAGTTTTTTCAATTCATATTCTCGTTATTTACAAATGATTGGATGAAATATAAACTTATATTTTTAATACTCATGAAAATATATATAAATTCGAAAATACATATAAAATATCAAATGAATAGGCCTTTGGTTTAATGAAATCACAGAAACACTGTTTTGGTATAGAATTTATACTTCCAACAAAATCGGACGCTTTTTCAATACAATTCATATATCATTTGCCAATTGATTGCAAATTCAATTTAAAATTCCTATTTATTATAATAAAACTCTTTTCTTAAATTGTGACTAAACTTGTGATACGTTTTGCGTTGGCTTTCGTAATATAGTACTATATCGCGGCACGTTATCACTGGGTGTGTTGGACCGGAGCCCCGGGTGGTCCAGTGCTGTCCTGTATATGGGATCGTTATAACTGTTGGGTATGGCATACGTGGGCCGAGCGTTCATATCGTTGTATTGCCACACATTTGGGTTGGTGTAGATGTTGTTGTCCTCATCGGACGAGGCATAGGATGGCGAGTGATTACTCGAACCGGACTCCAGGTCTTCGTTGCGAAAGACGGGCGGTCTCTCGTGACGCTGTTTGGCCTCTTGGACGCGACCCCAATGGTTGAGCAGGTCTTTGGCGTCCCAGGCGTTAGGCGTGCCGCTGACCGGACCCACCGGTGCCATCGGTCCCAACGCATTCACGTTCAGTTCCCGCAGATTCTGTTGGGAACCGGAATTATACGAATTGTGTTGCGAACCCGTGTTATACATGTTATTCATATTGTGATTGGGATTAGTATTGTATGCGTTATTGTGTTGCAAATTATTGATATGAATGTTTGGTATGGTCTCAACACTTCGGGTGAGACTCGTGTTGTCGTCCAATAAAATGCTGCGATTCTTCTCCAATTCGGGCGACACTCGGGGCGGATCGGGTGCTCTTCGCAACGCCGGCACCGGCGCCTCCTTCGGTGAGGTCTCCCGATCGACGTCATCGTTCTTTCGCCTCCTCTTACAGATACAGCAAATTAAGAAAACGCCCACAACTATGAGCACAACTGCAACGCCGATCGCTATCAACATTATCTCCCACCACGTCATCCCCGCTAACAGCCATTCGTCACTACCGTTGCCTACTTTAAGTGAATGTAAAGTTTTAGATTGTGGTCATTATTTTATACAACGTGTTAATCAAATGACAAATAAAGCCCATATAATTGTTAGTAACATAGATGTAATTTTGTACACTAAAAATCAAATAAAATCATTAAATCATAGTTTTTCAATAAATAAAAGTAACTAAAACTTATGGTAATAAAGAAAGTATCCAATAATCCGATGCCATGCAAGTCATGCGAGAATAGGCTGTGCTTTAAGAAGCCGAAGAAGAGATAGCGATAGGATAAGGATAAGGCAAAGGGAGCAATACCTTCAGCAATGCTAACATCACTTGCATAAGCGGTTGTGCTTTGAATTATTACATTACTTTTGATAAAAGCCATCACTATATTGGAGACAACGCTGGGATGTTTGTCCGCATCAAACGCTCTGAACGCTAAATAATAGACTCCACCGGCGTTTGAATTGATACGAATCTGAGATCTCTGCGGCTTTCCGTAGCCGTCGGCCAGTGTGTCGACCGACACATCGATGTCCGCGCCGTCAGTCTTCTCAAAATCACTTCTAATGTCTTCGAGTAGTTTCTGGTCGTCTTTGTAGTTGTCTTTCTGGACAAACGCTTTGATGTCATACTTATTAACAAAACCCGCGGTATAGTCACCGCCCGGAGACGTCCACAACAGGTTAACGGTTCGGTTCTCGTATTCGGCGCTCTCTATCCGCAAGTCTCGGACAGCACTCGGAGGGTATTCCGACGCTACGAACGTATCGGTCACATACAGTGTCCCGCACTCCACACGACGGACCAGTTTTGTCTGACTCGGAACCGATTCCCGGGTGCCGTCCACTCGAGAACCACAGCATGTCTTCGCCGTAGACTTAATTGGCAACGAAGTGCTGCCAAACTCTTTGGTCACTTCGATTGAATCCGTATCGCTGGTGATCTCAGCGCTGATCGTGAAGTAGGCCTGAGTGCCGATGTCTGTCACATAAGTGGAGTAAATGCCGTCGCCTTTGGTTATGTCGGGATCTCCTAACCCGTCGTCAACCAGTTCTACAGTCTTTGGCTGATTGTCGAACTCATTTACGATAACCAATTTGACGGTCACTCCCGATATAAGTTCGTCCACTTTTCTATTCACGTTGACGTAAGCCATTACAGGTTTGTTATTGACTTCTTTCGGGTTATATTCAACTGTATTGAGCCAACACTGGCCTGTGATAGGGTTGTCGTTGTTGTTCAATGATTTTGTTTCAAACTCAGCGATCGCTAACAATGACTCCAATGGTTTGCCCGATGAATCCGCTTTTCGCTTGGCTGTTAGATGCCATTTACCGATTTGGTCAGAGCTACCGATTTGGACACTAAACCCTTGAATATAACCCATTGTATCTGCATAATTAACTTTGGTTACGCTGCCGGGTGTGACCAATTGAATGGTGTCTTGTAAGGGATCTGTATTAACGCGTGTATCCAATCGCATAAAATATACCCTTAAGTGTGCTGCATGTAGTGAATTATCAACAGCAAATTCAAAATCAATGTCTGGCGTTTGATCGTCAATATATTTCTCAGCTATAGTTTGGAAATTATTGGTCAGACTTGTGAATGCTTTAAGGAAATGACTGGCACTCCACGGAGTGTCGTCTCTTTTAACATAAGTCACTCGACCATTGGTTATATGAGCGGCAGTTTTAAGCACTTCTGATGCTGTGATTCGATTGTCTTTCGAGTTGAATGGAAACACAATTAGATTTAATTTAATGTTTTTGTTTCTCAATTTTGTGGCCAATTCGACCACTTTTGATACGGGAGTCTCTATCTTATCGCCGGCGATCACTATAACAAATACACCGCCAGTGCTCTTAGCATCGAAAAAAGTTAGACCATGGTTTATAATAGTCTCTAAATTGACCGAATCTAGTGCTTTATCCGAATTGAGTTTCAACATAGTTAATCTAGAGGCTTGAATCCAATTAACATCATCAAATTTATTATCTTTGTTGATTACAGTTCGGGCGACCATAGAATAAGGCAAATCTGCACCATATTTGATCATGGCTAATTTTATCAAATTATACTGATTAGTTGAATGCATTGAATTGGCGTTTTGTATGGCAAATAATGTAAGCAATTGATCAGGTTGTTTAACAATATTGAATGTGATTCCACTGTTTGCCTCACGATATGCAAAGTTTTTGCTATATTTATTGGAGAGAATATATTTGTATATAAATTAATATGCGATACAATGAATGCAAACATCATTTTGTTTGGGAATAAATTAAAAACCTATTATTGTGGAATTTATTTGAAAATTTATTTCCCTATCACTAACATTACAATTACACTGACATTACAATAGAGTACAAGTGGTGTATTGGAAATCTGTGTGACTCTATCCCTGATGTTCCTCAACATCTAATGCCAGCTCTCACTCACACACACAGCGAGAGATTACTGGGAAATGCGAGTCCTCTCCGCACACAACACACAATATAATGCTATTATAATAGTATAGGAAATAAAATAATTGAATGCCATTTGAATGCTATTAAAAATAAATTAGAGAAAAAATAGGAAAAGAAGTACAAGAAGAAGAAGAAGCATAAGTTTTATCCCTAAAATGTATTTTCACAGTTATATATCTCTGTCTATTTTGCTTTAGGGGTTCAATGTTTGGCACTACATATCAATGTCAACGAGTAATCTCTTTAAATGGCATTACATACCTATTGGTGTGGTCTGGATGTGAGGCGATGACAGCCCACGTGTCCCTACCGTCGCATAAATAGTTTTGTTTATTCGGGGATTTAGTGTTATGTTTGTGTAACTCCTGTCCAGAGCGAGTGTCGCCGCAAAACCTCTTCACACCGGACGGCGAGTGGGCGTACATTAGCGACGACTCGAAGCTACTGTCCTGAGCGGGAACGGGAACGCACTGCCCGTTTACTGGCAGTCCCGTAGCGTTATTGATGGCTAGAGTGCACTGACCGCCGGTGGTCTGGGTTTCGCTCTTAAAGCTAAACTCCTTATCAGCGCACGAATTGATGAGAATTTCGCTGGCATTTGGATTACCGGCTATACTATAGTAAGCGGGATATATGGGGTCCGAGTTGTAGCCAAACTCGTTGAACACACCGTATCTATAGTGAGACCATTCGTGGACAAGTAGTTTAGCGACGCTTCCGTAGTCGACGCTGTCTTTGACCGTCTTTTTAGTCAATACAATGGGAAGTGCGTGAAGACCACAGCCGGCGAATTGCATTGTAAACGACTGCTCAGCGTCTAAGAAATGAAAATTACATATTTCATAATTAGGAGATAATTGTTATTTCATTTTTATTTTCTCCCTCAACACAATTGATGGGAGTGTTAATAGTGTCTACAATTCATGGGCTCTATAATTATTATAACAGTGGAAGCGTTGGGCAATTGCAGGGCATTCATGCAATTTGTGGCCACAAAAGGCTTTCACAAGTTATGATTTTTCGCACACAAAACAAAAACTTTAAAACTTATGTTAATTCAAAGACTTTTTTTTGTGTACCTCTATTGATAACGACCACATCTGCATCGCTATCTTGTATGGGAATCTCTTGTATCTGTTTGTCGGTGACAGCACTTGACCACGTGTTTGGCACTTTGATGGTCACCTCCGAGAAATATAGGCCAATCGACTCCGACAACACATTAGACGCTTCGGTGACCATAGACTGAAAAATATGTGCGGAAAATATGTTTTTATTTTTATTATTCTCGTTTAAAAAGAGGAAATATTAGCGCAAAAATATGGTAAATGAGAGTATTGTCTGAATGACTGATTGAATGAATGAGTGAATGAATCGGGAGAGAGAAAGAGAGAGGCTTTCCGTTTAAATGATTGTCAAACAGCCGTTGCGTTGAGTATTATATTTATAGAAAAATAATAACCAAATGTAATGTTTGCATGCATTGGATATTTAATATAAATTGCTGAGAGAGAAAGAGAGAGGCTTTCCGTTTAAATGATTGTCAAACAGCCGTTGCGTTGAGTATTATATTTATAGAAAAATAATAACCAAATGTAATGTTTGCATGCATTGGATATTTAATATAAATTGCGAGATAAATATATATCGCAAAATGTGTGACTCATTGAAAAATATGGTTATGTTGTATGGTTTGGACAGACGTTTAGATTAAATACAGAAATACAACTATTTTTCATACAATTTATAGTAATTTTTCTGACGAGAAAGTGAATGAATGGTTTAGTTTATTTAGTTTTGTGTATACATTGTAGTCATTGAACTAAAATTTTTCGATTTACTTTTTTCTTCTCATTTATTTTTTGAATACATGTTTAGCTTTATGTTTGAAATTTATGTTTCTCTCGCTTTTACAATAACAAAATACTTCAAACACCTGAACATAGAGTCAAGAGATAGGATGGATAGGAGAGATCGGGAGAGAGAAAGCATAGAGAGGCTAACTATTTATGCATTTCATATCTTGTATATATCCGGCACAACTCATGCACTTTGTTTGGGCTAAAATTACATCACGATTTTCTGTACATATTTCGCTGTATAACCTATTCTCATGAAAAGTGCACTTTTCAGAAAAATACTTACTATTCTCTCTCTCTCTCTCTCTCTCTCTCTCTCGTCAACACTAATGTCTACTTTTCAAGAGATTTTTGGTGCAATTTATATTAAATATCCAATGCATGCGAACATTACATTTGGTTATTATTTTTCTATAAATATAATACTCAACGCAACGGCTGTTTGACAATCATTTAAACGGAAAGCCTCTCTCTCTCTCTCTCGTTTAAACACAAATAACACAACAGGTATTGACTCTTACAATACGTATTACAATAGAGAGACAGATAGTGATAGATATAATGTGTGGATAATAAAGCATAAAATTGTGTTCACAAATCATTTTCTCAGTAAAACAACTTTTAAGAGATAAATATTTTGTTCTCTCAAACAAAATACACTCAAATAATTCATTTCAATCTCTAAATACAATACGCGATAGAAATAAAATATCTCTCGATTTATATTATAAAATACTGCTATAACTATAAAGTGTCTCATCTTTTACCTGAATTTTATCTAAAAGGTCCTTATCTTCAGGTATTTCCGGACTGATGGCAATGACTACCCCTTTATAGCCGCCGTCCACCACATGTAGTGACGAGTGCGAGGCCTGGCATACATCGGGTGCCAAATATAGTAATCCAAGTGACAAAATGAGATAATAATTTATATGAAACAATTGATGAGACATTATATTCTGGTATGCGATACACAAAACGTATGGATGAATATTTTCAAAATGATGTCAATATTTGCTTAACAAATAGTTTAATTATTTTATTACTGCAAACATTGTTTAATCCACAGGCAATCAGTGCAATAAAAACATATAGTTATTTAACGATAATATTCACACATCGAGACTGCAGTATAGTTAATGTGGAGTATATTGTTTGGTATGGTATGGTATGGTATGGGTTGGCAAATGAAAGGAGAAATATTTTTCACATTACAAAATTCAAGTGAAATATTTGATATTTAATTTTGCAAATCAAGTGTTGCCTTCAAAATCAAGTTCTCAAAAGATAAACAATTGATTATTTCTAATAAATACAATTGAAGTCTCCGGTGACGACGATAGCGCACACAGTATATGAATTAGCACTGTATGTATGTATTGGTAAATACAGGACATTCAGTTCAGTTGCGCTGGGAGTTAGGAAATACTGTATTTAATATAAGACTTTGAATCTCTCTGTTATTATTATTATTGTAATTCTTCGTTCCTCTACTTCTCGGCTTAAATATTATGATAAGTGATTGAAGTCTTGAGTTTCAGAGCAGATAATCGGAGAGAATTAAACACATTTAAAGTGTTGCACACATATGTATAGCCGGCACTGAAATTTAAATAGCGTTGACTTTTTTGCACATTCAATACACACCAGACTTTAAATATTACTGAATATTACTGAATATAACTGTGGATAAGGTCTGTGTTGTGGAGAACTGTGCGACCGATTCAGACGTGGTGTGGAGGATGTGGTGTTTGAACAGTGGATAGTAGTAGTGAAATACGATTCTGTGTGCACTCTATTAATACTGTTATTATAATAACACAAATATATATTCAGTATATGTGTATAAAATTCGTTATTTATTATTATTATCAGCAGTTTTGTAGTTAGCTTTCAAATATTACATTGTTTTGTTGCCATCGTTTCGGTTTTAGAAACAGATAATATAAACACAGTTTTGAGTGAGTTTTTTCCACTGACAGACCAGAGCTCCGGTATTATTATTAATAGGCAGAGAGAATATATGCGAGTTCCGAGTGGTAGAGCCCAACCGCCAAATGGACATACAGTTTGATAAGTGGTTTATATGTATTTGAAGTTTGAAAAACTTTTTGATGTTTAATATAATATAACGTGATTTTGTTTTAAAGATCACTGGAAGGGACGTTAGGTTTGAAATTAGATTTTTCTTATTAACTTTTCTTTTACTTCTTCACTGAACGCAATCTCTTGAAGCACTCGAAGCTAAATGAGAGATACTTTAAACGATAAAAAAGAGTTTCTTCACGAGTTTTCTCTCTCTCTCTCCCTCTCTCTTGCAATCAGTCTCTGAATTCCCGTCAAAGATCACCGCCAGCTATAGCCAGTACTCACACTCGCATTGGCCCCAAACCACTGGTCCCTCTCTTTCGCAGGCATTCACTCAATAATAATAAAAAACTACACGAAACACATGAACACAATTTTGTTCAACTGTTTTATTGAACACAGAGTTATAACGCGTCGAGCAGTTTGTGTTCAGTCGTCGACGAGAAATAACACACGAGTTGTTCCTTCGCCGGAGTCGAGAGTCGAGTGAGTCCTTACAGTCGAGTCTCTCTTCCAATACTGAAACTACTCTTTAAAAACCAAGAAATGCTTTTAGCGTTTAGAGAAGAAGTTTTTCTTCTATTCAGTCTCTCTCTCTCTCTCTCTCTCTCTCTCTCTCTCNTCTCTCTCTCTCTCTCTCTCTCTCTCTCTCTCTCTCTCTCTCTCTCTCTCTCTCTCTCTCTCTCTCTCTCTCTCTCTCTCTCTCTCTTCAATTCAATTCAATTCTCTAATATAATAGCTATAAAAGTCGATGCTTTCCTTACGGTTGGATTCGCTCAGTATTGACGGCACCGTTTGCTGGGATTCTTGTCCTCTCTGTCTCTCTCACTCACTCACTCTTCCCATTCAGTCACCAGTCCTTATGTTTTGTCTCCTTCTTTCCCTTCTTCTGGTTTTTCTTTATACTTGTATTCCCTTAAAAAGCCTATTGTTTGAGAACAGTATCGGACATATCATACATATCATCGAAACCACAATACAATAGAGAAAAGCCCCAAAACACAGGTATAACCGCAAACAAATGGCCTTTTGTGGCGAACCCTTATGTGTTATACCAGTCTTTTGACATCAAACATATGAAATGCACACAACATTTACAACATTTTATGAATACTTGATATAATATATAAGTGAAAAAACAGAGTGAAAGTTAAGCCCCGATAATAGTATGGGTCATACGTTTGGAGTTAACGATGAAGTCTAAGAAACATATGTACAGTACATACCGGAGGGAAAACTGATCGCAAGAGGTGTACTGTTCCCGCACTAAATCGTGTACAACACCGGCACTTATGATACGGCTATACAGCTATACTGCTATACAACCCGGGATTGTTGTGCTCCGATGCCATCACACAAACACATCCATTGCTGAATTTATAATGCATTTATAAAATGGGAAAATATGTTTTGAATTTCGCTTATCGTATAATTTTTCAGCACATCATCTAATGGCACATCCAATGGGGGAGAGGGAGAGAGAGAGAGAGAGAGAGAGAGAGAGACTGAATAGAAGTAAGAAAGGTTCAATTCTTGGACCACATTTATGCGACTGAGCGCTAGGAGAGAGAGAGAGAGAGAGAGAGAGAGAGCTGGGCATACAAGCCCTATGGCCTTTCACGCTCGATTTCAAATGGTTATGCCATATATCTATGGGCCCTATAATTACGATGAACTTTGTTGTGGGGAAGAGAGACATGAAATGTCAATATGTATGTAAAGAGAGGTCAAAACAGTCGGAGACCGCTGTATGTGCTATACATGAGATGTGCACTTTGTATGGATGGTATGGCAATGCTATGCCCTTATGTGTAGAGCAATGCCAACGCTTTTAGGGATTGGGATGGGAAGGGAAGCTGTGACCAGTTGTAAAGTGTACTAACACTGCATATCCATAATATGCTCAATAATATGAGACGATCTGTTCCTGAAAGGAGAGGTCTGTTTTGTTAACAAATATCTCCGACACTACAGCCCATCGTAAGGGACGGGACCCACGAAATCACTGAGAAATCGCTGTTAATTCATAGAAAAATATTGGGTGAGGGATAAGAAGAGATCTGTTTAAGTGGTTTCCAATGTGTTTGGCATATGTTATGTTTATTCAAAAACTGTTAGCTCAAGAAAAAATATGAACACAATATGCACACAGCCTTTCACAGCCTCTCTTCTGTGTAGACATTAATGCGTTTTTAGCCATTGGTTTAAATAAATAAATGCTCACAAAATTCATTTACTTTACGTCTTTAAGACACTGGAAGTGAAGGAAATATATAGTGAAGTGAAAGAGGAAAAGGGAGTGAAGAAGTGTTAAGAGTTAGAGTAATATTTATTTACGTTAGCCTACAATCAAATCAGTTATTTAAAGTGAGTGAGACATTGACTGCAATGAGTTTAGTGAAAGTTTAGTACCGATTCTGCATATGGTATATGGGATGGCATGTAATGTACACTCAATTCACTGCATAGTGAATATGCTTTGCAATAAATATTGCATTCAGTATACCGTAAATATAAAGCGAATAAATAACAAATAATTGCTATCAAAATATGAGCCTCTCGTATATAACCATAAATGTAATGCAAAATGTAATGCAAACGACAACCAAATGCTGTTTAAATTCTTTCTGTTAAGAGTTTATATTATGAACACTCTATTAATACACTATAATATAATGTATGGCTGACAGCAAACGCTAATAGAAAGGCATATTTTTCCAGTGTCTGAAATTTAACCACAAATGAACATTGGATTGGGCTTTCATTTAAGTCAGTCAGCTCTCTCTCTCTCTCTCTCTCTCTCTCTCTCTCGTCCCCCACTTCTAGTACCTCTCTTAGTGATGGACTGCATCCTAGGCTACAACAGAACGAACAAAAAAATTGGAGAACATGTATGTAATAAATGTTATGGCATTAAAAATAGCTACAAAAGCACGCCTTTAGATCACGTATTGCCAAATGGATCGACAAAATTGGAAAATAGCTGAGAAGGAGAAGAGCACTGAGAGGTTCCGAGAGAGGGGTATATATAAGAGATAGAGAGAGACAGAGAGAACCAGTCATACTAAAAAAGCTGTATTTGCACCTGTAATTAATATACGCGCCGGGACTGCACTCCGCAACCCATGTATGCATGTATTGTATATTCAGGTAAAAAAGTTTTTTCTCATCGATGTATGCATTAGTAAAATGTTGGGTCAAATGAATGCCTATTTGCTTGTATGTGTATGTAATGTATGTAATGTAGTGATACAGACCATTGATTAGGACTTTTCAATACAAATCCATACATACAATGCCAGACATTTCGTAACAATCATTTCAATTGTCTGTTTAAATACAATAACGCAATGAAAATATACAGAAATACGAGAACTAATGGTTTTGGAGGGCTTTTTTAAATAGTAATAGTTATTTTACAATTCAATGCATTTGAGTTCAGCACCAAAACACCAAAACATCGCAAATAAATTGAAATAAAAACTATACGCCGGAAAGGCGGGGGAGTTATTACTTCCGATGATTGCTATTACACAAGCATTTGATTGCTATAACAATAACAGTCAACAATCCGGTGCCTAAATGATGTGATATCTGTTTGGATACGTGCGAGAGAGAGAGAGAGAGAGAGAGAGAGAGAGATTTACTTACTATGGGGGAAAAATTAACATATTTTAAGACTAAAAATTAAACATTTTTATTGCAATTATGACATTAATTATACATTTATAACATTTTAATCACTAATTATTTCAAATTCGACAATTAAATCTGGTCCATTAATTGATTTTTGACAAAATTGCAGCAATTTTTATCATCGATTTTTGTAAAATAGTTCCAAATAATTGATTGTGGCTATTATTTACTCATTTTAATCAATGATTATTTTTACAATAATAAAC